TTTAGACGTCAAACCGCCGAGGCAATACCTCGCAAGAGCAAGTTCAAGATATCTATTAGGTTGGCGAATAAGTAATGGCCGTTTTTTCAATTTGAATTGGCGCGTGAATAATAAAGTGTTTTGGCATATTGTTTTATTGTTATTCGAAAGAGCTTTCTTTTCTCTATAAGATAGTATATGAGATTTTTTTGTTGACCTTAATTTTTTTTTTTCAGATCGTTGAAATGGAGTGCCAAGTCGACAAAACCGAGCATTTTCGACACCTTCTTCTTTTTGCGTTCAATCAAGGTGCTACGGCCGCAAAAGCTGCTAGTGACATTTGTGCTGTGTACGGAGAAGGCTCTATGCCTGAAAGAACTGCTCGAAATTGGTTTGCGAAGTTCAAAGACCGCAATTTCGATCTTAAGGACGCTCCTCGTTCCGGGCGACCAGTCGAATTTGATGAAGAAGGTGTCGAAAATGCTCGGTTTTGTCGACTTGGCACTCCATTTCAACGATCTGAAAAAAAATTAAGGTCAACAAAAAATCTCATATACTATCTTATAGAGAAAAGAAAGCTCTTTCGAATAACAATAAAACAATATGCCAAAACACTTTATTATTCACGCGCCAATTCAAATTGAAAAAACGGCCATTACTTATTAGGCAACCCAATAACTTCTTCGAAAATTGTAAGGAATGCTAATTTTAGGATATACAATCTTTTCAAAGCTCTCCGTACGAAAAATTGTGATACTCTTCTCCGTGCCTACAAAACTTATGTGCGCCCTATCCTTGAAAATGGGACCACGGTTTTTTCCCCTCATAAGAAGAAGGATAAAGAGTTAATGGAGAGTGTCCAGAACAATTTCACGCGAAAGCTTGTTTTGCGCTGCAGTGGTCTTACTTATAGGCTCATTCCCGGTGGTGCGGAAAGGAGAATGCAGGTTGGTCTGCCCACTTGAGCAGTCGACGAAGAAAATTTGATCTGGTCATGGCTTTTAAGATTCTCACTGGTAGGAGTGGTCTCATCTCATCTGACTTTTTCAAACTTTCTCCTTCCAACACAAGAGGAGGTAGTCTCAAACTCAAGCCTTCAGTAGCCAGGACACAAGTCAGGTTCCATATGTTTTCAAACAGAGTGCTTTCGGACTTCAATAAACTCCTTAGGCTAAATGTTCTTGAATAGTCGCTGTCCGAGCTCAAGAGGCTGGCCGCTCTTCAATCTAGTTCAGGGGTTCTCATATATAAGAGGATGCTTATTAGAGCTTATGTTAATCACATTTTAAACTAGTGCTTTCTTTTCCTTTCTTTCTCACGTGTTGCAATTATAAGTTATAGTTATGCAATTTCATACGCTTTCATACTGTTTTTTTACAACACTTCCACATTGTTTTTATTTACTTCTCTCGGATTCGCATCGTTTCATCTACGCCGTTCTGTTCTGTGCTGTTTTTTCCACTTAAGCGTGAACTTTGTTCGCGTCCTCAGATAAAGATAAAGATAAAGAGTGGCCTTTGAGATAGATTCCGCACTAATTGTGTAGGCGAAGACAGGGGGCTTTCCCTATTGGTCTCTCTCCTCCACTTCCCGGCGATCTCTTTTGTGGGAACCCGTGAACTCTTGTAAAGATATGCAATAGTGTGAGCTTCCTTCGTGCTTGACGAGAGTTTACAGGACCCACCGAGCTGAGAAACTGGCGGACCACAGAATTCCTCCTCCCCCGCGAACAGCGCGGTATGCCTCTGTAAGTGAGTCCGAGGGAATGAAGTTGGCGTTTAGGAATCCAAAGATCCGTTTTTTGTCCAGCAATGAAAAAGTTTCGGAGATTCTGATCTCTTGGTCACCAGTCTAGCCTTCAGTAATCCTGCGATGTTTCAGGTTTACTCACCCTCCTGGAAAAACGCCTGAGTTCGATGTGCCACGGCACTGAAGTGGCTGACCTGCCAGAGGTAAGGAATTTACTCGGTCCCTTCCCCTTTTTTATCACTGATTTCACTTTTATGGTTGGAGGCTAACTCCAATGAAAACTCGAACCAACCGGTGTTACAATTGCTTCCCTTTTCAGCATGTTCCAAAACCTCGGTCGATCACACTGACGGAAACGACAGTTCCTGCGATTCTGGTGGGTGAACCTTCTATCTAGTTATCGTCCCCAGTCTGACTTTTGGGAGCCAACTCAAAAAAGCCACGAAATGCTGCTGTTGTTTTCAACTGCTATCCTTCTCCAAAATTTAATTTTGAACGTTCGACTTCCGCCTGCTGCCCAATTAGGTCCTAAATGTTTCCTAATCAATTTCCGATACGCAACACATTGACGAGAAACTCGGAAGGAAAGCGTACTCCTCTTTGAATTTTCAGAATTGTATTCATCTAGAGCCCAAACTAATTTGAACGCCAAACTGACAAAACAGAGAGCCTGGCAGAGGCCTGTTTATGGTCGTACCACACAGCAATGTGTTAGGTTGTAGTTATAACAAATATGTTCCTCAAAGAAAGCCTCACAAACAGGGATGCGGGATATTTGAACCCAGAAATATCTGCTATATCACTCGTGTTCCGCGAATGCTCACCACTAAAAACAGCCCCGGAGTGTCTGACTGCAGCCGTTCGCCTGTCGCGAAAGGACCTTCAAGATCTCCATTCCTTGCACCAGCCCCGTCGAGTCGTTGGAAACAACACTAAATAAAGATGGCGCTAGTGAATCAGTCTAGTGCATTATCATTCAAAAGGTTCCCGACGTGGTATAACACGTTTATTACATTTTTTAAAAGTCGTCGAGACACAACGCGGTAAAGCTCGTCCGAAAGTGGGCGGAGAGGGGCTCGTTCTTATAATAGGCTTTAAACCCTCGTAGCTTTCAATGGGTACGAGTAAATATAGTAATATTAGTCGAAGTCTGTGGAGAACTTCCTGTCAAAGGACGTTGAAAAGGCGTCATGTGTGTGAAGCTATACCGCTCCTGCTCTTCAAAAGTATTTACCCTGGACAAATTGCGCGATGGCCGATGGGCGGAG